AAAAATAAAAGTGGAAGAATACATATTTACCTGAAAAGATATTTAGAAGATTTTTTTAAAAAGATTTATTTGAAAAGTAGAGTTACAAAGAGGGAGAGGCAGAGGCAGAAGCAAGGAGAGAAATCTTCCATCCCATGGTTCACTCCTCAAATGATCACGACAGCCAGGGTTGGGCCAGGCTGAAGTCAGAGTGAGGAGCTCCATCTGGGTCTTCCACATGGATGCAGGAGCTCAAGCACTTGTGCCATCTTCTGCTGCCTTCCCAGGTGCATTAACAGGGAGCTGGACCGGAAGCAGAGCAGCCAGGACACAAATTGGTGTCCACATGGAATGCTGGCAATGCAGATAGTGGCCCAACCCACTACTCCACAATGCTGGCTACTGGAATGAGATGTTTATATAATTTTGAGATATGATTTCCAAGATATATGAAATAGCTTTAATCATAAATAATGTAGACAGATTGTTCTTATAACAGGCTTTAAAAAGGTAAGGTAAGACTTCACAATTTGGGAAAATTTGTAAGGAAATTTCCAGGGAGAGAACTGATAAAGATAATAGCAAAAGATTACCCTTTCTTTTTTTTAAAATTTTTTTTTATTTTTTGACAGGCAGAGTGGACAGTGAGAGAGAGAGAGACAGAGAGAAAGGTCTTCCTTTTGCCGTTGGTTCACCCTCCAATGGCCGCCACGGCTGGCGCTCTGTGGCCGGCGCACCACGCTGATCCGATGGCAGGAGCCAGGTACTTCCCCTGGTCTCCCATGGGGTGCAGGGCCCAAAGACCTAGGCCATCCTCCACTGCACTCCCGGGCCCCAGCAGAGAGCTGGCCTGGAAGAGGGGCAACCGGGACAGAATCTGGCGCCCCGAACGGGACTAGAACCCGGTGTGCCGGCGCCGCAAGGCGGAGGATTAGCCTAGTGAGCCACGGCGCCGGCCAAGATTACCCTTTCTTAAAGAATACTCCAAAAAAATTAATTATCTGAGGCAGTAGTCCTCAAACTTTAATAAGTGTAAGAGTCACCTGGGGAACTTAAGAATAATGCCAATTCCCAGACTGTGTTCTGCTTCAGACGTTCTCTTCATTCTTTAATAATTCTGTAGATGATTCTGATATTAAGGAATCTTGGTTTCTTCTCGATCAGACAAGTGTGGTCCTTTGTCCTAGACATGGTTTTTAATTGACTTTCTGGGTCCAGAAATAACAACTTTCTTTTGTCCTCTACACAACTGCTTCTTGACTGATAGTATTCATCCATACTTGTCCCAACTTTAAATCTGCTATCATAAAAAACAAGATCAATTATCTCCTTGTTGCAATTATCTTCTTAGCCTGGGTTACTCTAGCTTCTTTAAAAAATTTTTGGCTTCTGACACAATGTAATTTTCTGAAAAAACAAAATTTTGTCATGTTTCTTAGTGATTTTAGTTGTATAAATGATTATTTAGTAACTTGATGTAGCAGATTTTATTTTAAAACATGGCCAACACAATATCTTCTATTTCCTCTGTTTTTATGTAGTTTGAACTTTTTGTCATTCCCATGTTAGTTTGAATCCAGTTTCCCCCATTTCTTGAATAGGAACTTGGCATAAGGATTTCTTGGTAAATAGCATCCAGTGGGAGTAGCATTCCTAATCTTGGAACCCCAGAGATTAGGTCATAAAAATCTTTGTAACTTTTACATGTCTTTTATTTTTATTTTATTTTATTTTTTTTTTGACAGGCAGAGTGGACAGTGAAAGAGAGACAGAGAGAAAGGTCTTCCTTTTGCCATTGGTTCACCCTCCAATGGCCACCACGGCCGGCGCACCGCGCTGATCCAATGGCAGGAGCTAGGTGCTTCTCCTGGTCTCCCATGGGGTGCAGGGCCCAAGCACTTGGGCCATCCTCCACTGCCTTCTCGGGCCACAGCAGAGAGCTGGCCTGGAAGAGGGGCAACCGGGACAGAATCCGGCGTCCTGACCGGGACTAGCACCCGGTGTGCCGGCGCCACTAGGTGGAGGATTAGCCTACTGAGCTGCGGCGCCGGCCTTACATGTCTTTTAAAATATTTGATTTTAGTAGGCTCCTTTTGGAGCCCAACTGCTATGATGTAAGCATCCCTGGTAACATGGAAGATTCGTCTCTAAATATTCTAGTAGATGTTCCCAACTGAGATCTCAGCCAAGAGCCAATAATAAATGCCAAGCTATCAGACATATCAGTAAGCCATCTTAGACATTCATTCCCATGAAGCAGGAATGGGTCTTTATTAAGACACTGATGATGTACTTCTGGCTGTATTTTAGAATTATAATGAAAGTGTGACTCTTATATGACTCTCTCACTATTTTATAGTTTAGTATCTATTGTATTTATCCTGCTTCTGCATCACCATTATATGTTCTCTATCTAAGTGTAGATAATTCATTTATTTACTTCACAGGTCTTCAAGTTGAGAGGAATAATATTCAAAGAGCTATGTACAAGAAACTGAACTAAAAGGGAATATTCTTACTTTGTCCTGATTTAGAGAATGAGATAAATGGGTTTTGAATTAATTCCATAGTGCAAAGGAGATTTTGACATCTTAGAGAAAAGGTGAGTGTATTTTTGATGCAGGAGGTGGTATGTATTATTATGATTCAAGGGTAGACTAGTCAAAGGGAGCACATAGACAAGTCTAGTACCTGCTAACGCTAACCAATGGAGTAAATAAAGGGGAGAGTGATCCAACATGGGAAGTGAGATACTCAGCAGACTCATAGAATGGCAGATGTCCTAAATAGCACTCTGGCCTCAGAATCAGCCCTAAAGGCATTCGGAGCTGGCTGAAAAGCTCATGAGAGTATTTCAGGCATGGAAAGCCAAGACACTCTGGCAAAAGATCTCTACGAGTGAGATCCCAGTGGAAAGAACAGGTCATCAAAGAAGGAGGTACCTTTCTCTGAAGGGAGGCGAGAACCTCCACTTTGACTATGACCTTGTCTAAACAAGATAAGAGTCGGAGAACTCAGAGGGCTTCCATAGCCTTGGAAACTCACGACTGGAGCATAGGGAGATTACTGATGCCATAGACAGGAGTGTCAATTGGTAAAGTCAACAACAGGAGTCACTGTGCACTTACTCCTCATGTAGGATCTCTATCCTTAATGTGCTGTACATTGAGATTTAATGCTATAACGAGTACTCAAACAGTATATTTCACTTTGTGTTTCTATGGGGGTGCAAACTGTTGAAATCCTTACTTAATGCATACTAAACTGATCCTCTGTTAAAAAAAAAAAAAAAGAAATTTCAATTCCCAACTTGACTCTCACTGGGATTAAACATGACAATAGGTCTGCTCTGATTTCATCATCATTTAAAAAAAATCATCTATTATTTTTCACTTTATGTTTCTGTGTGGGAGCAAACTGTTGAAATCCATACTTGATGTATACTAAGCTGATCTTCTGTATATTAAGATAATCGAAAATGAATCTTGATGTGAATGGAAGGGGAGAGGGAGTGGGAAAGGGGAGGGTTGTGGGTGGGAAGGACGGTATGGGGGGGAAGCCATTGTAATCCATAAGTCGTACTTTGGAAATTTATATTCATTAAATAAAAGTTTTTTAAAAAAAGGGTAGACTAGTACAGGTTTTGTTTACCAAAGAGACTAGAAATGATATTTTGCATCCCATGTGGTTTGCTGCCATATGACCTTGCTGCTCTCCCAAGAGACACAGTCTAATTCCTCTCCTTTTTTTTTCTGGGATGGCCTTAGTGACTTCTTTGAAAAATAAATGTGACATTTCAAGATATTTGAGGCAAGTTATAAGAAACAACAGGAACCAGCAGTGTGGTGTAGCAAACTAAGCCCCAACTTGTCACCCTGGAATCCCATATCAGAGTACAAATTGAAGTCCATGCTACTCTGTTTATGTTCTAACTCCCTCCTACTGTGCCTGGCAAAGTAGTGGAAAATGGCCCATGTATTGGGTCCCTGCCTTCCACCAGGGAGACTTAGATGAAGTTCCAGCTTTCTGGGCTCCTGGCTGCCACTTAGCCCAGCCCCAGCTTATGTGACCATTTGTGAATCAGATGCAAGATTCTCTTGCTCGCTTGCTATTTAAATGTTTGTGTCACTCTGTCTGTCAAATAAAGAACTCATTTTAAAAAAGAAATCTTACAACTTCCTCATTGGTGTCATTGAACATTTATTTTCTGCACACTCTCTAGTATACAGTCAGCCAAGAATTCCAAACCAAACGGAGAGGTTGTGTGGTCTGCAGCCTTGACTGAGCTCCTACTTAACAGCTAGCATCAGCTACACCAGTTCTAGTCAAGTTTGTATTTTGTATACTTTTAAATATTTTATGCACATTTCCTCCTTTTATTGTATTCACTTGACTTCAACATTTTCCTCCTAACAGCTATCCTTATTCATCTCCTTCACTGGTTCCTCTTCTTCATATAACCTCTACATACTAGGGTTTAGACTTCCTTTCTATATACCCACTTTATTTGGATCTCATTAGACACGTAGCTTTAAATATTGCCATTAAGATGGAGCAAATGTCTGCCACAGTGGATAAAATGCCACTTAGGATACATGTATTCCACATTGGAGTGATTCCAGTTTCCTGTTGATGTGCATCTTGGAAAGCAGCAGGTGGTGGTTCAAGTAGTCAGGTTCCTGCCACCCACACAAGAAGCCTGGTTTGAGTACTGGGCATTTGGGGAATAAACTAGAGGTTTGGATTCTCTCTCTCTC